CCTGTCTTCAGCTTCAACTGTATCTGTCTGCCCGTGTAATAGAATTCTTAGTAGTCGATATTTCTGAACAATTATTTTGTCACGTGTTTTGGTGTAGGACAACAAACACTTGTTCTGAAATTCTTCTATAGCTTTGCCGATGACATCTTTATCTCCATCAGGTAGATCTTCATAATGTACCATAAGGATGTCGTTGTTGTTGTGAACCGCCATGATGATTGTGGGGTCCCACCGGGCGTGCCAAGAACGTGTGTTGGCGCGAAATTTCGTCCCGTGCCGAGGGCACACGAGCAAGCCGAAAGGGTCCGCTTGATGGAGCTGGAGATCCGCCTAGCTTCGGCCGCACATTCGGGACTGTCTGGCAACACCGCCATGTTCTGCCTTAAATTACTGATTAGCTTTTCTCTGAAGGAAATCGACTAAATAGTCGATTTCAGCATACTCATAAGAATAAATCAATTAAAGCTCATGGAATCATGGAAGATAAATCGGTTATCACTCAGGATAGATCTTGTTATTTAGACAAACATTAGTCAATGGCAAAAGGATGTCAAAAATGATTAATTTATGCTAAGCCAATGACTGTAAGTAACCGAATCCCTTTTCATATAAAAGAAACAGCTCATCATCATTTAACCATTTAATAAAGATAAATCTAATGAACATATTAGATCTCATCTACCGCTATGACCAGTGGGGCATGAGGCAGAATCATGCAGGCCATAGAAACAACAATAGATTCGACAACCCTAACTTATTACTAATATCAGTGGGGTGTGAGGCAGAATCATGCAGGCCGTAATACAATAATAAGTTCATGGGGCTAACACATCTTTTAATCTATTTTTACTTCAACGGTCTCATGACGTGAACTGTTCATGAAAGCACTCGATATCGGCTAAAAACAGCCGATTCAGGCATAGCGCACAGTTAAGGTCATGCCCTATCAGGAACAGATCTACCAAATAACGATCCCCACTCCATAGTGCTAACAGTGGGGTGTGAGGCAGAATCACACAGGCCGTGATAACAGACCATGGAACGGTTCTCGCTAGCCAACAGATCTACTCAAGACAAAACATGCCTTAACGACACACTATGCGTGATCAAGATTGACATAAAACGACCGATAAAACATAACTCATCGTTCAAGATGCAGATTATATCAAATTCAGATTAACAAACGATGGGTTAAGAAATATATAAGGCCGATCTAGATCAATCTCAATCAAGCAAAGTGATATTGCTATAATTAAATAAATAATGGAAGCAATAAGCAATATCGGTAACTTAATGAATCTACCCGAAGTAACGTCACCCTTAGATAGAGCCGATAACTTGACCTTAATCTAGTTCGAGCAGTGGAGGTCGACCGGATCGATGCAGCCGTACTTGCTGAAGAACTCACCGAGATCTACTCTACTTCTACTCCTAAGGGGTGGCCGGAGCTGAAAAAGTAAGTAACTTATATTTGATTGATTATGTGTCCTTTACATAAGCTGGGCTCCAATATTTATACCCGGAACATACGCACGATTCCTACCTAAGCACGACTCATCACAATTTTTGTCCCTAGAAAAAACATTTCAAAATTAAGAAAAACTTGAACTCTAATCTTTCTCTTTTTGCAGAGTCCAACATGCCTTGTCCCGGCGCCGATCGTAGCATTTGTCGTTATCTGCCGGCGCTATCTAAAGAAAGCCGATTTCAGTGTTGCATTCGAATCAGCCGATACTGACCTGCACGCAATTAATTTCTTGATGACATGATCTTGGGAGCTTTCGAGTCCCTATGATTTTTCTTCTATATTTTAGTGTAAACACTCATTTTATTCTATTATTTGAATCACTTGCGGTTCAAATTTGACTTATACCAAAAAAAAATCCTTGAAATACAATAAATTAATTAAATATAGCAAACAGATCCAGAAATATACCAAATCTTAACATGGAGTACCACATGTTGTATGTGGACAGTAGAAAAAGTTTTAAGGCTAAAAGTGAAAAAAAAACTTATTATTTCTTGCAGTTGTAGCTCAAATTCAATGTATATCAATTAAAATTCTATAATTGCACTTAATAAATTAAAATTATTAAACGGATCCAAAAAATTACCAAAATTACACATGAATCAATCTATGTTCTCTATTGGCTATACAAAAAGTTTTGAAGTCAAACCCCATTTCAACCGTCACTTTGACTCTAAATCTTACCGAATCCTTCTCAACGCTACGATTCTTCTTCTGAGATACTTCGGTTTGTAAACATCGTACGTGAAAGATTATGCAAAACCTTCTCAATTTTTACCACGGCCTCCACGTATGATCTCACGAGATCTTGACAAATCTCATGATTTTAAGACTTTGTTTGCTTTTTTTAGAATTTAAAAACCATTCGGCCACACGTTCGTGGTCGTGTTTCCTGAATAAGATGTACGAAATTTCTATTCATTTCTTGGGTAAGGCCTCACACCAGACTCAATAACATGAATATCATTTTTCTACTCATTTTATTCTATTATTTGAACCACTTGCAGTTCAAATTTGACTTATACCAAAAAATTCCTTGAAATGCAATAAATTAATTAAATATAGCAAACAGATCTAGAAATATACAAAATCTTAACATGAAGTACCACATGTTGTATTTGGACAGTAGAAAAAGTTTCAAGGTCAGAAGAGAAAAAAATTTATTTATTTGCCGAGTGCCAAAAAAACACTCGGCAAAATTATTTCTTTGCCGAGTGCTAAAGAAAAACATTCGGCAAACTTACTTCTTTTTGCCGAAGTGCGAAGAACGGACACTCGACAAACTCCTAACGGCCGCACACTAACTAACGGATGTCTACGTGGCGGTTTTTGCCGAAAGTGTCTCTGTTTTGCCAAGTGTTTTTTACCTAGTTTGCCGAGTGGTCTTTTTTCAAATTTTCGGTAAAGATATTGGTATGCGAAAGTGCCGTTATTTTACCGAGTGTGGTTTTTGAAGCACTCGGCAAACACTTTTTTGCCGAGTGCCCGGATGAAATGCACTCGGCAAATCTTTTTTGGCACTCGGCAAATCTGCTTTGCCCGATAGTGCCGGGTGGGGAGCAATCCCCTAAGACATTAAAAGAAAAACAACCCAACATTATAGGTGTAAAGGCCAACCCAACATCCCCTAAGATTCTATAGTGGCTATGTAAAGGGCCTATTTGGATTACTTTTGGATTATTAGAGTCTGGAGTAATAATTTGGGCTGTTTAGATCCCTAAATTATAGGTGTTGGATTATTGTCCATCCATCTACCCGATTAGTAGATTTGAGATGGATTATAGGATTGCAATAATATGTTGGTGGTATTTTAATCTAACCCATAATATAGAATGTCTGAATCACCTAGACATTATTTTATTTTATTACTACAATCAAATAGACCCCAAATTCTTACAATCATCCAAAGTGGCCTTACTCTGTCAGGACACGTTCTTGCACAAGTTGGAGACCGAGGCAACCTCACTTTGGTATCTCTACACAATCTAACAGTCGTTTGAACCAAACGGCATAGGACGGTGGCATTTCCATTAATGAATGGCCACTTCTTCTACAATATAACAGTTAGCATGTCTGACTTTGCTCTGCCAAGACTAGATATATCAGTTTCACGTATACAGAAGCATGTGAGATTTTTCCCCCCAAGACCGGCCATTTGCGTTGTGTTCGGAAAGTAATAATAATAAGTAAATTGGTGAAAGGTCAAATACAGGTGCAAACAGGTTTTGAGACAAGACACTTCGAAAAAGGGGAGGACATATCCAAACTCCTTAAGGCCTCGTACATTTCGCATGGGATGGCCACCTGCAAAAATTCCAGGCTGGAATGCTAGCTAAATTTATATAAGATTCTTCAGTTGGAGTAATTCCTGGGCTGGTTGTACTGTAACTGAACCGGCCCCTGATTTGTGTTCAACCAACAAGCCCTTGTTTAGTTACTCCAAAATCCAAATTTTGGCACTATGCAAAAAGAAGATTCCCCGTCACATCAAACTTACGGTACATGCATGGAGTACTAAATGTTGACAAAATCAAAAACTAATTGCACAGTTTGGTTGTACTTTACGAGACGAACGTTTTGAGTCTAATTAGTCAACGATTGGACAATTATTACCAAATACAAACAAAATGATACAGTGTGCTACAGTAAAAACAAATTTCGACGGCGCCAAGTTGGGCAGCCAACTAAACGGGGCCCAAGAAAAGAATCTCGCAATCCAGCTACCTGGGTGTGCTGGCAAATGTATACGATTTGGTTTTCTATTTCTATTCTACCAGGATAGTATTAGTATGGGAGGGAGCAGTATTCTCATGTCAATCAGTTGCAGCTATCATATTACTGCTAAAAAATTAGCTCATGCAGCGATCGATCTACCAAGGCAGGCACACTATACAATCAAGAACAAGATTGAAAGGCAGCAAGGCACCATAATTGTTGACGAGGTTCATATCAAAGTCAACTTGAGATTGGTGATTAAAATCTTTTTGCTACCTCAAGATCAGGGGCGGATTCAGAACGGGGTTGCACCCCGGGCTGAGCTGCTGATTCACGTTCAAAACAGTCTGATCTTGCTTCTTAGGTTTCCTTTTGTCTAATTAAGATAATAGTTTTTTAGGCTAAACACCACATATGTTAAAGGGGCTACATGGACTCGCCCCGGGCTGCAGCCCGGACAGCCCGGCCCTTGGATCCGCCCCTGCTCAAGATCAAGGAGGTGGCACACATACATGACACAACAAAAGTTTACAATACGGTAACAACAATATTACCTCATGATCAAACCGTAATATAAACTGCAGCAAACTTAATTAACTGGGATTGAGCACTGCTAGCCAGTAGTGGTAAGTATATATATGCAGTAACAACAGTACAGGGTAAAAAGCCAGCACCAACAAGCTCGCTCATACAGTACAGCTCAGAAGCACCAGAAAGTCGGCGCCGGTGCCTGCCGCGCCTTCTTGGGCGGCGGCGGCTACGGGAACTCCGGCACCGCGAACACGTCGCTGTCGCTGTCGGAGTTCCAGCTCCTCTCCCTCACGCACCCCTGCTGCTGCTTGGCCGCCGTCGGAAGGACCACGACGGAGGCCGGCACCTTGTCGAAGCACAGCGGTCCGCCGCCGGACCACGCGCCTCCGCGCTTCCCCGGCCGGCCGCCGGCCACCACGTCGAAGAGGTCGGCGTCCAGGGACGGCACCTGCTCGTGGCCGTCGTCGCTGTAGCCGGCCTTCTGCTTCCAAGAACGAACCACCGCGAGGTCGATCTGTTAGCTAGCGTGATCCGGTTGCGGATAGAATAGAACAGAGCGCGGCGACGATGGCTGGGCACGTACCGATGCCGCTGAGAACGCGGGGTCGTCGAAGAGGAGGTCGTAGACGCGCCAGCCGGGGCAGATGTTGGTGAGGTAGTCGGAGATGCTGCTGCCGCCGCCTACGCCGCCGGACTCAAGAGCCGAGGCCTTGGCCGCGCAGGAGCCCTGCGCGCCGAGGGCGGGCACAGCGTCGGGCTCGCAGGCGGCGCCGTTGCCGCGGCCGCAGTCGTCGTCGTCAGGGGAGGGGGCACCTGGTCGACGAGCGCGGCGGAGAGCTTGGCCCCGACGAGGAGGAAGCGGGTGTGCTTGGCGGTTAGGTCGTTGGCGCTGTGGATGGGGTCGTCGCAGTCAGGGCACAGGATGGCGCGGTCTTCCACGCAGAACACGAGGCCCCTCCGCTCCTGCAAGGCGCACCAACCATGTCAGCAGCAGCAGCAGCTCCGAATCCGATCCTCTCCCTCTCCGGCCGAAGCATGCACCGGACCTTGCAGACGTCGCAGAGCAGCGCGGCGGCGTTTGCGGCAGCGTCGTAGTCGTCGTTGCCGGAGGCGGGCTGGAGGAGCGGTATGCGGCGGTGCTTGTGGGCGAGCTTGTTGGCGCGGTGGACGCGGCGGTCGCAGGCGGAGCAGAGCGCGGCCTCGTCGGCGCAGCAGACCACGGCGGCCGGCGCGGCGCCGCAGACGTCGCAGCGCACCTGCATGGCAAGCCTATCGGAGACCAGCTAGCGCTCAGCCGCTCAGGAGTAGGCACTATGTTCGGCTGCCGTTAGAAGTCTGACTTGTAATCCCGCTTATCACTCATGGTATACGCCCTGTTCGTTTGGGTTTGTTTTACTTATAAGTCATGGTTGAAAATATTGTTGGCTAATTTGATGTGAGAGAAAAATACTGTTCATTGACTGATAAGCCGAATACGACCAAACGAACAGGCTGATAGTATTTTTCTCCTTCCAACAAATCAACCGTATAAATCAACACAAACGGCTTATAGACCAGCCGAACAGAGTCTAAGCTTGCTCTCAAGCTACAGCGTCAAAGGTCGAAAAAAGGAGGCTGGAGAGAGACAGGGGAGAGGACATGCGGGATGGGTGCAGCGAGGAGGAAGCGATAATAAAGAAAATGTCTACTCAACAATCGATTATTTTAGACTCTCTTATCAACCAAATTTTTCACATACACTTACATTGTCTTATAGCTATATTTACACTGTCTTATTGCTATATTTACACTGATTTCTTCAATGTAATTTATTGAAAAGAGTGATGTAATTTGGGAATAACACAAATATATGCCAATTTTTTCAAAAAGATTTACAAATTATTTCTATAAATTTCAGACATAAGAGAAATATATATCAAATTATTCACAAATTCTTCAGAAATTAAAAAAAAAACAAAATCCACACAAGGAGGTGAAAGAGGAGAGATTGTCGCAGGGTGTTCCGTGCTCACGTTCGTGTGTCAGGTAGGGACACAGGCACCGGCATGATTGCTTGCTTGACGCTGAAGCCGAGCGGACGCACGCACAGGGACGCATCGCACGCGCCAGCATGATCGTAGGCGAGGAGAGGCCGACGTTTCCGCATCGCACGACCCAAAAAACGGTTGATAACAACCGACAAATCAACCGGTTGATCATTAGCCTTTCTGCTAATAAAACAGAGCAAGAGGGCTAGTGAGATTAAATTAAATTATCCGCCATGACAGGGAGAGGCGAGATCTTGTTTGGGGAAGAGAGGAGAGGAGACGAGGGCCAAGCCAAGTTGGCCACCTGGTTTTGTGCTTCTTTGGATTCAATTCACGGCTTACTGCATGGCTCTTCTCTCAAAAGCTAGATTAAGGTCTATTTGATATTTTGAGCTCACGGTCTAACATATCGAAGCCAAAAATTAGCTCTACTCCATTCAAAGAAAGGCTAACGATTTTTAATCGCTAGTAGTTGTTAGTCCATTAGTCAAACACAACTAGCTAACAAAAGCCAAACTAATAGTTCATTGCTAGAGAACTATGTAAATTTTTACGAGGAATACAAATATACACCGGTTAATAATCAACTAATTTTTAGCTATGACAAACAATTAGTCTTAGTCGGTCCAAACAGACTCTGAGTAATTAGCCATAAATAAGACCTACATAGAATCAATCAGATAGATTTTGCCCAACTTTACTTGATAGCTTTGCTTACTTTATTACATGCATATGCCTGCAAGATATTTGTACTTTTTGCAATGCAAGTGGTTGATGGTTATTGTTGTTGTTCCTTCCAACATTTTTGTAAAAGTTGCGAGGAGTTTCTAAAGTCCAATTGGGTATCCATTTAGGTGAAACAAATGATAGCCTCCACTTCGCAATAATATTAGTTCTATTCACATGCATAGGAGGCATATATAAGACTATAAGAGCCATGTACATCTTTGTGTAGTTGGATTATTGTAATTTTTACTATATAGATGTAGTATTGATCCTTGATCTATCTCCTGAGTACAATTTTGACTAGTGTTAAGCCATTTTGGCATGCGACAAGGGATCACGACTCCCAACACAGACATGATAGGCCACTTATGGAGTCGTAGCATTCACTCAAGAATATGCTAGAGGCTAAGCAACCTCCTACATACGGTTGCCCAATTAGCTTCCTTGATGTGGAACTTGCTGAGTCAAATTGGAGTCTAACTAAATATGTACACTAATATTATATTAAATAAATAATGATCAAGATTATGAGCAATAAAACACTACCAACAGGAACAAGTATGTCCAAATAACTCTAAATTAACCACCAATAGATATTGTTTGTAGAAAAATGGTACAACATTTGTATTTTATTTAAACTAAATTAGTTATATGTTTTAGAGATGTAAACATATTTTTATATATTTTTGAAAATACATATGTAGGCAAAACCAACTTTAAAACTAGTTGAGGGCTAAAGTTGTCTAGTTTAGTAGTTCAATGGCCAAAGTAGTTTGATTGTCTTTGGACCTTGACGGCCACAATCAGACTCGAAACGATAACTCAATTGTAAAAAATAAACTTCTTCCTTATTCTTCGAGGGGTAAAAGTGAGTTTAGCTATCGTGGCCATATACCGGTAATTTTTCAATCTCAAACCTACCAGCGAAGTCTCTCAGAAATGTTTATGAGTTAGAACTTTTTTTTGCAAACAAATTTATGAGTTAGAACTTGCATACGTTCATTCATAAAAGTAAGTATGGGTACAAGTATGCAAGCATTTGCATCTATAATAATATGCCCTACATTAGTTGCTATTATTGTGCAAAAGTTATTCCTCAAATCCTGAAATATAAGGGCCCAAGTTTATCCTAAGTCAAACTACGCTAAGTTTGACCAAATTTATAGAGAAGAATATCAACATCTATAACTTCAAAGAGGTATATTATAGATATATATTTTATAATGTATTTAATTAAGCTAATTCGAAGTTCTATATATATTTTCTTTTTTTTTATAAACTTAGTCAAAGTTACTACTATAGTTTGACTAAGGATAAACTGAATCCTTTATATTTTAGGACAGGACAAAGAGAGTATACCATTGATAGAAGGCTACAACATCATAATAAAAAATATTTCTGACATTCACAAAAAATGAGTAAAATCTCGTTAGAGGATATAATCCCATCTACATGCATGCCAATGCCATAGATAATTTTTTTAGACGAAAGAAGAATTATATTAGATCACAGCTGAGTACATCATCACGTTACAAGCACACTAGCGTATATCCATATCATCTAAATTGTACCACGCTCTGTATAGCACAAAATCTCAACTCCCAACCTGTATGATGATTCGTATAGACGACCGCACAGTCAAACACTCGGCAAAGGGCCTGAGAACATATGCCCAACGAACGACAGCCAACATTCCTGCAGGCGAAGTGGAGAAACTTCTTCTTTCTTGTGTCTTCCTTCTTCTTTTTACCACCAAAGAATAAGAAAGATTGATCTGAAACTTATTCTCTCTAGTCCTTCATTGTGGCCAGATCTAACCACAACAAAATGGAGAAGAAACCGGAGAAAATTATTCCATGACGGTGACATCATCTCCGCCTTGATGTCGTCATCCAGAAAGCCAAGTCTCCATGTCGTCAAACCGATAAAGTTGTTGACGCTGATGTCGCCCTCATCTTCAACAGAGCCGTCATGGAGAAAATCAATCCACACTGCCCCCTCGTTGTTGCCAGAGAGGAGGAGGAGATAAATTTTCAGTACCAAGAAACTTGGCATGAAGAGACTCTAACCCTAGATGACTCGATCTACTAGAAAACTAATAAAAAACAATGGATCCCCACTCCCTTCAGCCTCCGACGAGATGCCGGAGGGAGAAAGGAGGGAGACCAACGGTGGTGGATGCGGAGGCGCTAGGGCGAGCGACTCGCCAGTCGTGGAAATTTCCCCTTGAGACCTCGATAGGGAACCATCCCAAAACGGAACGCAACCTTGATTCCAATGCCATAGATAATTGAGCTCGCTTGTTTGCACTCTAAAAATCTCTCTCCCTGCACTGTACTGCACACACAGTGTCCTATTCGTCTCTCTTATAATCTGTCTTTTTCAGCTTGTTTTTTCAGCTTGAACAGTGTTTTTCTCTCACAACAAATCAGCCGGAACAGTGTTTCGGCTTGTTTTTTCAGCGAAGCGAACGGGGCCACCGGTCCATGTGCCAAAAAAAAATACACATGGCATGTTCTGGATGTGTACGTACGTACGGGGCCCAATTAATGGACGCGTGGACCACCACTGTACGTGGCACTCTGTGTAGCGTGCTTGATCTGCGTGATGTGCGCGTTAGTTGTTCATCGATCGTTTCATTATTTCTGCTCCCATCGATCTCAAGTCTCAACTGTTGCTAATCCGGCCGGCCGGGCCGGCTTATTATTGTTGCTCCCATTGGTCAACCAAGAGTACCTACCTACAAGTAAGCTAAGTAACAATTAACTAACCAGCACAGCGATGTGGTTGCCATGGCGACGACTTCTTCTTGCTCCTCTTAAACATATGTGTCGACCATGGATCGATCGCCCAGCTACTACTTTTTTTTTTCCGAAAGCGTGCGCTGCACTGCTTCATGAAGAGAAGAAAGAGTTTTCGTTACACAATGGTTGCACACCATGGCGAGTTGCCATGATATACAAACCACGCACACTACTAAATCGTTGTACTAAACGTTTATAAACAAATGTTACGACCGAAGGAGGTGGGTGCGCGCTGTAACCGCCAGCCATGAAGAACGACGCCAGACGCCTGTACCCGGCGCCGATGTAGGCGTCCAGCTCTTCGGTGACCACGGCGAGCACCTGTGTCGTCGTCATGGCAATGTTGCTAACACTGGTAGACAACAGAGCTTTATTCCCAGTGAGAACCCCTTTTAATCCTAGTTCTCCACCCGGAAGCAAGCATCCAGGACTAAAGGGGTCCTTTAGTCCCGGGTCAGGAACCGGGACTAAAGGAGGACCTTTAGTCCCAGTGGGTAACATCAACCGGAACTAAAGGTGACATGCCACGATGGCCGGCACCTTTAGTCCCGGTTGGTAATACGAACCAGGACTAAAGGTTTTTTTTTCTTTAGATTTTTTTCTTTTCTTTTCAAAATAGGTTTTCGAAGTCGTATTGTACGCTGCTAGTTATACATTTATATGCGCGTATAGTATGTTTCGGTTCAAGCATAATGAACGTATTAA